CTTATATTTGCTAAGGTTTTTCAGTTAATTAATAGTTGAAAATATAATTTGAAATTGGTAATTAAGTACCTATAACCGATTTGAAAAACTAGAGGCTAAATGTTTTGAATTCTAATTTTGCCATGCTAAAATACTATTTGAGCCTTTATAAATTATCTAATCGCTTCTTAATACAATTTTTCCCTTTAAAATGGGTCTCCCAATGTTGACTGCACAGTGAGAACTTTGAGGCTCAACGCATTCAATGTGAGATAGGACAGCTTTGCCAAACTCACCAAGCATTTCACCTGGAGATTCTGATTGAGGGTGGGGCCCAGTACCTCTTATGATCAAAGAATTTGGGGAAACACAGAGAGAAGAAGCTGCCTCAGAAAAAGCGAGCACCATAAAGTTGTAGAGTGTAGTTCAGCCATTTTTCAGCAGTAAATTAGTAATCAGAATCACTCCAGACTGTTTCTTCCTTGATATATACCAAAAATTTAGGTCCCCCTTTTGTCCCAGACATCATCTAACAACTGCCAGAAAGCAAGGACACTTAAATTTTTATTAATCCTCTTTGAGGATTATCAATTCCATATTTGCCTCCTTCTTCTTCTTGCCACTGGTTACCTTCTGACTCAGTGTGTCTGTCCCTGGGGGCTGTACCTTAGGAGATGGGGAAAAATAAGAATTGAAACTCATGTTTTTCAGTTTGCTGTTTCTTAGTGAGATGAGAGTTAAAAGGTTGGGAATTGTTCCAGTAAGTCCTTTAGAAGCTGAACAAGCATCTATGTATGCATCTAACTTTTACTGCTTTTTTTGTCATAAAGTATTTGAAATGGCTTGAAAGATTAGATACATTAAAATAGAGAAGTACATAACAAGCTAGAGTTGGGAACAACAAAATTTAGAAAGTTAAGAAAGAGCCGGATACATTTCTCCAAGCATAAAGCTTGGACTTTGGTGAACCTTTGCTTTAGGGGCAGGCCCAGTGGGTGGGCTTTCCTGGGGGTGGAAAACAAAGACTCTGCTGCAGAGCTCATGGCTCATTAATGATTTCCGCAAATATATCTCTGTTAAAAGTTGGAGCGAGGTTGAGAGTTAAGTGGGTTGACTTGGAATTTGCCTTGACTGTTACCACAGCATTTAGCTAGACTCTCCTCCCACCGATCTTTTACATTTTTCCCAGAAAAAGCCACTTGTCTGTGCTCGGCATTCAGCCCCACGCCCACCCCGCAGTGAGATTGGTGGCTCACAGCCAGCCTCTCAAAATGGGGGGCCTTCATTGCTGCATCTGCCTGCTGACCTCCTCCTGATCCTTCTCCCTCGGTTAAGGTTTAAGCTCCGGTTTACCACCAGGCCTCTGCTAATCCTTGGCACTTTCTTGCCAAAAGCTTCTTAAAGGGGAAAAATCTCCTTTTCTGGTTTCCTTGTCCCTTCATCTCCTCCTCTCTTTCTTTCTTTCTCCTCCTCACCCTTTCTTTCTCCCCTTCTCCCTCTGTTGTTTCATCCAGTCACCTTTTTATGGGCATATTTATTGTCCTCTGAGTAGAAAGAGGATTAAGAGACAGATTGTACACTAGAGGAGCTCACAATGAAATTGAAGGTACATGAAACAAGCAGTTATGATTCTGTGGCGAGTGTGGTACAGGCATGAACAGGAGTTTGTTAACCTGGGAGAGGAAGTGATCAACCGCTGTGAAGTCTTCAAAGAGAAGTGAGCCTGAGCTGGGTCTGGAACAGTGGGCAGGAGATGCCTGGGTCGGAGGAGGTGTGGAAGAGCACGATGGGCGAGGGCTTTCTGGGCAGAGGCGATGGTTTCAAAGGCTTGGAACTGTGAAAGGACAAGGACATTGTGTGTGGTGCAGAGTCTGGAAGTTGGCCGTCGTGGTGGGGAGAGAGAGGAAGGGAGGCGAAGGAGATGAGCCTGGAGGGGTAAACTGTATTTTAGAGTGAAGAGCCTTTAGGATGTGGATTTTGCCGGATAAGCCGCCGGATGTCAGAGGAAGTCTTTTATCAGGGTAGGCTAGGATTTGAGATGCTCCCCCGGCAGCAGGGAGCTGCTGTGGGGAGATGAACTGGACAGGGGAGAGACTGTGGAAGGAGTCCATTCAGGGGTTGGTAGAGTTTGGAAAAGAGATGAGGCAGGCTTAAGCTGAACCAGCGCCGCTGGTGATGGAAAGAAGTAGGAAGGGTGACTAGTCAGATGTGGCAAGGGAAGGGGGAGGGGAGTTAGGAGCCTAGGAAAGAGCTGCTGTCGTGAATGAAACAGAATAGGGAATACACACAAGCCAAGTCCCCCTCCAGAAAGTCTGTTTTTCTTCCATCAATTGTTTTTTATTCCTCTGTTCCTTTAAAATCATCTTAAAATCCATCTACCTCAGAGGTATTGTCTGATTAATCCATGGTTTTCTGGTATCCTAACCTTTCTATTTACACCCAGTCTTTCTTTGTAAGTATTCATCCATCCATTCATTCCATCCACAAATGGTTATTGAAGACCCACTGTGTGCCAGATGCTGGATTTGGGCCCAGGGGCACAATGGTGAAAAGACAAAGTATATGCCCTCACTGAAGCTTCTAGTATAGAGGAGTAGACAGACAGTAAAACGTAATATTAAATAACCTAACATTAAGTAGTTTGTAGGGAGTATGTGGTATGAGATGAAGTTCCAGGGGTTGGTAAGAATCAGATCATACAGGGCCTCATAGACCATGGTCTGGAAATGGAATCCTATCCTAGGAGCAAAGGTCAAAAAGCCAGTAGGTATTAGGGTGACAGAAAGCAGAAATGCAGGGTTCTGGGATGTCTCTGAGGTTTGGGATGTGAGCACCTGTGTTGATAGTGGTGTCATATATTGAGATATTGCTATATATTTTTCAAGTGTGTGGTGTATGTTTCACATCTTTTATTCTACCAGCATCACAGCTGATGAATTTGGAAATATTTGAGGTATCATAGCTCACTCAACTATGTGCACTCCATACAGTGTGATATACGCAATAAATGGATAGGGATTTAAAATCAGATGACATGTCACATATAAATGTGTACTCCCACTCTTGATTTGGGCCATTGATAAAAGTTGTATTTTGGGGGCAAAATAATATTGAACTGTCTTAACTTTTCTGAGGTGAGAAAGAGGGTTGAGAGGGAGAAAAACCTGAGATCGAAACAAGAAAATAAAAGCTCTTAAGAAAACTCCCATCCCTTCTGCTGACAGCGTGCCCTGATAGAGGTTTCATGTGGGGAACAAGATGACTGTGGATCGAGATGCCCAGTCTGTGAAGCTTTAGGGACTAGAGAAAAGGAGCTGTTCGTGTGCACAATGGGTAGAATGGGTGTTCCACAGTCTCCCACGGTCTCCGTCTGCCTGGGTTCAGGTCAGGACTCACATGGGCATCTGTGCTCCGTGGTGTCCGAGTGGGAACGCTTGTGAATCATCCTTGGATTGACGTAAACCAGCAGCCCTCAAGTGCCTGGGCTGTCTCTGAAGAGGGAGAACAGGTAGAGCCAGGGTCAGATGATGAGAATTTTCCATTTTATGGCTGTGATGGCCTGGAATGCCTGGTGTGGTTTATTAGCTTTCACAGAGGACCCGATCCTTAGCTCAGGAGACTACGTTGTAGATCCACAGTTAAGTGGAATGCTCACATAGCTTGCTTCCCCTCCAGTGTTTCAGATACTGAAGCTTTCAGGGAAGAATTTACTGAATTGCTGTGTAACTGACTTGACTACAAGAGACTTGTACACATTTATTTGAAGCGTGATTTTTGTTTTCTCTTCTTTCAAGGTAGTCAGTTATATTTTAAGGAAATCTTTTTGTTGCTGTTGTTACAAGGGAAAACTAATCAAAGATGCATGTCATCTTAATAATTGTTTTAAAGTTTATTAACTGTAGCTATAATGATGCTTTATATTTACATAAGGCTTTACAGTGTACAAAAACATTGCTCCATGTTTTCCATTTGATACACACAACCACCCTGAGAGGTGAGCAGGGCTTGTAACTCTTTTCACAGACGAGGAAATGGGAAAGTTGAGGAATGGGTGAGTGTCTCAGTCACGTAACAAGGAAGAGATTAGGTCCTTGAATCTCCATCGTTTGACTCTAAGTCCAGTGATCTTTCTTCTTTTGCATTTTGGGTGTGAAGTCCCACAACAGAGGTGGGGATGGGACCCTTGATTTTTGAGCTCCTGTTAGGTAATTGGCACTGGCAGTGCCATGCACACATCTCATCTCATTGAATCGTCACAACTCCAGGGTAATTATCACCATCCCCACTTTACTGATGAAAAAAATGTGCTCTGGGAGGTTAACTAACTAACCCAAGCTAGTGAGCCGTGGAGCTGGGATTTGACCAGGCCGTCCAACTCCCAAGCTGAGTTAACCGGTAGCCTGCCTATACTACCCCAAGGAAAGATCACACTGCATATTAAAATTATTAGATAACAGCAACATTAGTTTTATGGATTTACTAAATTGTTCTCTTCTCTGCTTTTAGCAAAAGCTAAAGTAGATAACTTTCCTGAACATTTTTTTACAAAATAAGACAAATTTGCAAGAAATCAATCCTTGCCTCTTGGAAGAGAATAAGACTAATGGTCTTAAATATTCTTTGGCCACGGTATTATTTGATGCTACTTATAAGAATATGGAACAAGCAGTTTCTAATCTGTGGAAAGATGTGGCATATTACAGGATCAATTGAAGATCTTATGACTACTTTGTTATAAGATCTGATTTGTTTAACTCTGAGGTTTTGGTATACTAATTGCTTATTAACATGAGTATTCCGTTCTTTACCTTCGAACCAAGGTAGGCTTTCTTTGTATTCATATCTTGATTTTCATTTCATGCTACGTATGCCTAGGCCCATGTTCTCTGGTGGGAAATGCATAACAGGAGCTTGGTTTAGCTACTGATGTAATGAAACTTATGGGATGAATTGTGCTGTACTGTTAAGTGTTGCTGTATTTTCCAATTTTAAAAAATGGCACAAACATGCTTTTATCCTAGATGACTGCTACGTTGAGAAACTTGGTTGATTCACCACTAGCAAGAAGTAAGTTGCTGAGCATCAGTGCCCTTCCCCAGCTCTGTGCGGCGATGGGACAGCACATGGGTGACAAGGATGTCTGCACCAATATCGCCAGAATATTCAGGTCTGTAGACTAGGAAAACCAAGCAGCCTTACAAAAATGCTAATGCTTAGATTTTGGGTTATCTTTCTTATTTGTGGGTATGACTGGCAAGGAATCCTGTTTTTGCTCTTTACTTTACCTAGAAGAAAAGGTGAATCTAGTGGCCCAAACTTAAAATAAATGATTTAAACCAATGGCTCCATTTCCTACATATTTCTAATGTGATTCTAAACTCATTGATTGTAAATTACTTTAACTAAGTTATGAGTTATCCTAGTGTTTTTACAAAACAAATGAACGAATCTTCCTCTCAGCTCATTGCAGATAAAGAACTATATCACAAAACATGGCAGCCTTTCTGGTCCACTTGGAAACAATACTGAAGGGTTTTAACTCAAAGAGGGAACCATTGCTTAGAAAGTCTGATCTGACTTAATTTGTAATTGGAGGTCATTTTATTTCAGTTGTTTGACTGAACTTGGCTCACATGTTGACTAGTCAGGTTTACACTTACTTTACTCTGGAAGTGACGATCATCTGAGTCCAGGTTGTCTCAGAGCGAGATGTGGTTAAATTTCAGAACAGTCTTTAAATTATGTGTTTATATTTTCTCCCTCACAGCTCTTTGTCAGCGTTTTTACATATTGATCCTTCTCAAAAGACCTGGGCATTTCTTGAACTATAATATCATAGTTGTTGAAAGAAATACAAAATTTCCTAAAGACTGGTTGGTAATTGACCCCAGTATGAGGATGTGAGTCCAGATCTGGTCTTTTAGCACCACTTTCCTGAGCTTTGTTCTGAGTACTTAATTACTCCCATTTTGAAGCATTGTTAAATCATAAAGAATTTATTTTTGTGAATGGTGGCATGTAGGGATCCAATTTAATTTTTTTTTTCCATGTGGCTAGTCAATTGTCCCAACACTTTTATTGACTATGCCCTCCTTTTTCCACTGATTTTTAATGGCTGCTCAGTCATACACAAGGTTCCATATACTTGTAGGTCTCTTCCTGGGCATTCTCTTCAGTCCATCCTCAGACCAGGACGGCACTGATTTTACTATTACAGATTTAATTTAAGTCTTGCTCTAAAGTAAGATGAATCCTGCATTTCTTTTCTCCTTGAAGATCCAAATTCTTCTTTTCTCTTCCTTATGAATTGGAGAATCAGCTAAGGTCCGTGATAGGAACTTTAGGGTTTTTCATGGAACCGCACTGAGTATGCAGAGTAACTGGGGTGGGGGTGGGAAGAATTGACGTCTTTATGATATTGAGTCTTCCATCCATAAACATTTATGATGTCTTCTTCTATGCCTTTCAATTAAATTTTATAATTTTCTCCAAAAAGATTTTGCACATCTTTTGTTAGATTCATTTCTTCGTGGCTTTTGCTGCAATTGTGAATGTAATCTTTAAAAAAAATTATTTTCTAATAGGTTATTGCTGATGTGTATGAACAGTATTGATGTTTGCTTATTAATCTTGTATCCAGCAATATTGATGATCATTAGACAGTGAACATTGTCTATAGATTCTCTTGGATTTTCTCTGCAAATTGTCTGCAAATAAGAATAATTTGGGGCGGGGTGCTGGCCTGGTCACATAGGAGTTAAGTTCATGTGCTCTTCTGCAGCCACCCAGGGTTCTCAGGTTCAGATCTCGGGTGCAGACCGACGCACCGCTTGTCAAGCCATGCTGTGGCGGCATTCCACATACAAAAAATAGAGGAAGATTGGCAGAGATATTAGCTCAGGGACAATCTTCCTCAAGCAAAAAGAGGAAGATTGGCGGCAGATGTTAGCTCAGGACCAATCTTCCTCACCAAAAAAAACAGTAATTTTTTGTTTTTTCCAATGGTTAAAACTCTTCCTCCCTGTCCCCACCTCTCTCTTATCGCATTGCTTAGGATGTCCCATACAAAGTTGTGAGAGTGTTGGGCCTGCTGCCTTTCTCCTGACTTTAAAGGAAATATTTTTGTGGTTTTACCAGTTAAAAATAATATTTGTTATAGGTTTTTGTAGATATCCTTTAGAAGGTTAAGGAATAATTTTCTCTCATTAATGGATCTTAAATTTTCTCAAATACTTGCTGTGAATCTATTTTGATTATGTGGATTTTCTTTCTTTCTTTCTTTCTTTTTTTTTTTTGTGAGGAAGATTAGCCCTTAGCTAACATCTGTTGCCAATCCTCCTCTTTTTTCTGAGGAAGATCAGCCCTAGGCTAACATGCGTGCCCATCTTCCTCTGCTTGGTATGGGACGCCGCCACAGCACGGCTTGACAAGCAGTGTGTCGGTCTGCGCCCAGGATCCAAACCTGCGAACCCCAGGCCACCAAAGTGGAGTGTGTGAACTTAACTGCTAGGCCACTGGGCCGGCCCCCTGGATTTTCTTTTTTTAATTCATTAATGTAGTAAATTACATTAATAAATTTCCTCATGTTAAACCATTATAAATTGCTAGGTTTAGTTAACCAATATTTTGTTTAGGATTTTTCATCTATGGTCGTGAGTTAGATTGACCTGTACTTTTCCTCTTTCATATTGTCCTTGTCTGGTTTTAGTCTCAAATTTATACCAGCCTCTTAAAATGAGTTAGGAAATATTCCCACTTTTTCTCTTTTCTAGAAGAATTTGTGAAAATTAAACTTCTTTTTTTTGTGAGGAAGATCAGCCCTGGGCTAACATCCATGCCAATCCTCCTCTTTTTGCTGAGGAAGACCGGCCCTGGGCTAACATCCATGCCCATCTTCCTCTACTTTATATGGGAAGCCACCACAGCATGGCTTGACAAGCGGTGCATCCGTGTCTGCCCAGGATCCGAACCTGAGAAGCCCGGGCTGCCGAAGCAGTAGTCGCGCATTTAACCGCTATGCCACTGGGCTGGCCCCTGAAAATTAAACTTATCTGTTTCTTGAAAAGTTTGTAGAACTTGCTTGAAAAGCTATTTTATCCTGTTGTGTCTGTGAATATTGTTGACTACTGATTTACTTTCTTTAATGGTTATATATCCAGTCATATTTCCGATTTCTACTTGGGTCAGTTTCAAAAAGTTATATTTTTTAGAAATTTGTCCATTGTATCTAAGTTTTCAAACAATGTAAGGTTGTTCCAAATATTCTCTTATCCCTTTAATCTCTGTTGCATCTGTAATTATGTCTCCTTTTATTTATTGTAATTATTTAACAAATACTTATATAGTGCCTACTACATGCCAGGCAATATTCTAAGCACTTTCCAAACGCTAGTTCATTTACTCCTTATAACAACTTTAGAAGGTAAGTACTATTACTGTTATCTTCATTTTACATATGAGAAAATTGAGGCATAGAGAGGTTCAGTAGTTTTTCAAGGGTCACATAGCTCGTAAATCATAGAGCTGCAATTCAAACCAGGTAGTCTGGCTCTAGAATTCATACATTTAACCACTATGTTCCACTGCCTCTTCATTGTTAATATTGCTGTTCATTCCTAATTTTGATTATTTATGATATTTCTCTTGTTTTCTTGATCAGTCTTGCCAAAGGTTTGCCAATTTTAGCAGTTTTTGCAAAGAACCAACAAATTTATTGGTCCACTCTATTGTATGTTTGTTTTATATATTATTCCTTCTGTTCTTATCCTTATTAATCCCTTTCTTCTACTCTTTCTGGATATATTTTGTTTGTCTTCTGTTTTAGTTATACACTCAATTCCTGTCTTTTCAGCCTTCTCAAGGCTATAAATTTACCTCTAAATACTGCTTTAGCTGTATCCCCAAATTCGTTTTGTAGTATTTTTGTTATTATTCACATCTAAGTGTCTTTTTATTTTCATGGTTTTTTGACCCATAAGTTATGTGTTTTTAAATTTCCAAATTGTTTTTTAAAAAATGTATTTTTTTTATTGATTTCTAGTTTAATTGTACTAGACCAGAGACTGTGATCTGTAAGACACCAGTTCTCTGAAAATTTACTGAGACTTGTTAAGGGCCTGGTACATGGTCAAGTTTTTAAAATATTAATAATGTTTTACCTGTTAATCTGTCAATTAATGAGAGATTTATGAACATCTCCCAATTTGGTGTATGTTTGTCACTATGGCCTTGTGGGTTTTGTTTGTTTGCTTACTTTAGAAATTTTGAAGCTCTTTGCAAGAACTTTTGCCTTAAGGTCTATATTGCCTGATATAAGTGTACTACTACCAGTCTAGTATATTCGAGCAGTTTAACATTTGCTTCTGATAGGGTTCCAGGGGATTCACTAGTTGGTATCCAACCAGATTTTGTGTAAATTTCTTAGCTTATGTTTTCTGAACCACATAGCTAGTGAAAATTCACACCATATACATCTGTGCGAGGCTTCAGGTTTCTATTTTTCAAAGGACTTTGTTTTATTTCCCTACTCCATGTCCCTAGAGTCTAGAGCAGAGAGCAAGCCTCCTTGAGTCTTCTCTGCACTGGTGTGTGGAGTATTTCTTGACTCCGTTTTATGAACTGGGCAGCACTTTGAAGGTCTGTATTTAAAGTAATGCTGTATGTACTAGAATTTTATAGAAAAACAAAGTTTATTTTTATTTTCCCATTTGGTATTTCTGCAGCAAACTTACTTCTTACCACGACTGCTGTGTAGCCTTGGCCAGCTGCTCCCGATGTTATGCCTTGTTTTTGACTCTGATAAACAAATACCAGCAGAAGCAGGTCAGCTCTTCTTGCATTTAATCCTTCAATGTGTCTTTGCATTAGTGTATTTGTATAAGCCCATGTTGAATGCCTTTATGTTTTGGATGTACAGATTTCTATTAGAAGCTTCCATTAGATGTGTATTGGGCTGCCCCAGGAGGCAGAGAGTTACCTGCAAGAGTTGGCGAGGGAGTAGTTTGAGGCAGAAAAGGCCTCAAGAGAATGACTACGTGGTAGGAAGATTCCTGATTTAGAGAGGTGAGTGGGTGGATTTCCACAGTGTTGTTCCTCCCAGTGACCTGTAGACCCCCACATGAAAGTCGCCTTGGGGTGGGGTGGGGGTGTACTGGTCATTGCCAGGCTCCATCCCAGGCCTGTTGAGTCAGATGAGTGGGGAGGGGTCTGGCCATCTGCACTTTAACAAGAACCACAGGGACTTTTGATGCAAACTAAAGTCTGGGATCCCCTACACTGGGTACACGCTAAGATTCTTCTTGCTCTGAAATTCTCTAATTCTTTGACCTTGTATGTAGAAGATGAAATTTCTAGGTAAGTATTTAAAGGAAATAATTTGGTTTTAATGGATTGGGCAAAAAATGTATATAGTTTATAAAAAGGAAGAACTCACAAATGACTTCCCTTAATGAAACCATAATACTTAAAATACAAATATTAGTTTTTATTATAATTTTTTGAATATTCATTAAGTGCAGTCTACTTTTAGTCACCTTAATAAGTGATTAAAGTGACAGCAACTCTTTAGTAGTAAAACATTTTATACATGAATATAATATATATTCATTTCAAATATGGTTAATTTTCAAAATCACATAATAAGTTTTACCAGTTTACAACTAAATAATTTATGTGTATACTAAGAATGTTCGTTTATATTAGCCATATCAAAACCACCTCAAAACATAGTCCCTATTTTCCTCAAATAACATTGACCTTATTTTTACCCATCCAAGTACTTCTGCTGAGAATGACTAAATTTGTCAGATTTTACACTATTATTAGCCATTTATTAAGAGGTTACTTGTCTCTTTTTGGTTATAGATGAGAGAAAAAATTCTATGCTCTTATTATATACCATTACTACATTCTAAAGATGATAAACACTTAAAGGGTTAATAAGTTTTTATTTAATTTTTAAAAACTGATTTACAAATATGCACTTAAGTTTCTGATTCTGAATATTTGGATTACAAATGCTTTCCCTATGTATTTTGTATTTTCTCTAAATTACATAATTTGAAAGATTTTAAGGCACACAAATTTGCTGTGTCAGGTAGAAAATGAATTTGATTAATCTACCTTAAAATATTCACAATCTGCTGTTAATTTAAGTGTCCATTAAGCACTTATTAATTTAGATTTTGGTACAGCATATTATCAGAACTATAATCTTTGGGGGCCAGCCCAATGGCGCAAGCAGTTAAGTGCACGCGCTCTGCTGTGGCGGCCCAGGGTTCGCCAGTTCGGATCCCAGGTGCGCACGGACACACCGCTTGTTAAGCCGTGCTGTGGTGGTGTCCCATATAAAGTAGAGGAAGATGGGCACGGATGTTAGCCCAGGGCCAGTCTTCCTCAGCAAAAAGAGGAGGATTGGCATTGGATGTTAGCTCAGGGCTGGTCTTCCTCACAAAAAAAAAAAAAAAGAAGTATAATCTTTGGACAAGTGAATTAACCCAATGAAAAGCTTAGGCACTCCAATTCCTGATTTTCTTTTTTAAGGAAAAAATTAAAATGGTAGAAAAGATAGTTTACTATAGCATTAAAAGAATTCTTTTAGATGTTATACTTAAAAAGAAATTTAGTTATGAATTTTATTTTGTAATTTTATTTTATAGATTTACCTTATGGATTTTCATTGTAATTTTATTTTACCATCATTATTTGTTTTCACTCTGGTGTTTTGATCATAGATGACTTACCTAAGACTGTAACTAGAGAAGACCTCTTTGCCTTGCACTAGAATTTTCAAATGTGGATGAAAGAAACACTTCTTTATAACAGTTTGATTTCAACTTGTCGTAACCTGTAATTTTTTAAAAAAGAAGAAAACCCATCAGTTGAGTACTGATAAATAGCGCTATTATTTTATGGCATTACTAGTAGATACTGTTTTGTTTCTCTGATTGTAGCTTAGATGATGGCCATGTTGAATAAACAGACAACAATCCTGGTATCTTGCCAACATGAGGCACTTGAGATGTCAGTATGGTTAAGGGTATGCTTTTTCTGGTTCAAGGGACTAAATGTCTTCAAGTTTAATTCGCATAAAATTTTACCACTCTTCTCACTGAATTGCTCTTCACTTTAGACCAATAATTATCTCCTAATCAAAATTGGTGTTTAAAAGCCATATTTTTCTCGATTTATATTTTAATTTTGGGTTCCTATTAAAATTATTTTGGTCCAAAGAAGAATAAAGAACACTTTGCAAACTATGTACAGTAACATGTTGTTATTCAGAACCATCAAGGAAATGTAATCACCAAACATTTTAATCATTGCAGTGAAAATCATATTCAAATATATTACACATTTCCTTGCCTTCTTAGAAGATATTAAAAATAATTTAATCTCTTCTTGCCACAGGTCAATATTGCGAGCATTAATTATTGCTCTAGAGGCTATTTGTCCCACATTGGGAGCATGAGTCTATTGATGAGGTTCTTTAAATGTCTGTGTCTTTTCTTTGCAAATTTCTCTCTCTTCCCTTTCTGTTGATTGTTACCTCTGCCTTTGGTAATCATTACCTGCCTTTTGTAATTCTTTGCTTGCAATTAGCAGGGGAAGCTCATAACCAAACTTGTTGAAAGTAACACCTAACAAGTCTGAAACAAAGTTGAATATGAATTGGCTCTTAGTGAGATGGGCTGAAGGGACTCTGATGAAATTTCTCTTGTCGCGTCTCATCATCAAAAGTCCATTCATATTTCAAGATGTAGCTCTCATGTCTCCTTCCTTCTGAAGCCTTCCAAGGCCAGTCAATTCCTCCCTCGTCAGTGCATCATTTTAATGACTTTAACATAGCTAGTACACCCAGCTAGTACCCCCAGAGCTCAGGACCCAAGCAGTATGTCCATGATCTTAACCACTTCACTATTATCAAGAAAAATTATCCCAAACCTAGAAATATAGGGTGTGGGGTCAGACTGCATGTCCTGACAAAATCAGGGTGGAGTATTGTTTAATGGTCAGGCTTAATTCTTGAGGAGGATGTATATGAGTTTAAACTTGCTATTTACTGTTTGATTAGAATCTAGACACTATAAAGTTACACATTAATTTATAGATTTCTCTCTAGTAGGCAAGATTACCTCAAAAGTTATGGTTTTATTACCTTGTAGGCTATTAGCCAGGTGTTTATCTAACCTAGTCATCTTATTCTAACATTCTTTTTAATGCTGATTAACATCCAGTTCTTTGATTGTTCTTGGAAGCATTTTAAGCTCCCTCATTAATGAGATAAGTAATTTTTTAAATGTGTCAACCTTATATTTGTAAGACAGTCATGTTGTTAACTTTTTAAAAATTATACTTTGACTCTGTACTGTCTTATAATAAAGAAGCAAGTTATAGTTTTGAACCATCTTTGATTTTTTTCTAGTAAGAAAAATAGATACCTAATTTATATTTTCCTAAAAACAAAAATATTCTAGAAGAGCAAAGAAATTGTTCAAGCTACAAGAAAGTAGTTATGTGTCCCAACTACTTCCTAAACTTGTTAACCAAAAGCTCCCATAGGTTGTTGTAAATATTTTTTTGCGTGCTTCTCCAAATGGTTACCATCTGTGTAGCTGCCTCACCCACGAATGGAAGTTTCTAAATGACACAGGCCTTGTCTTGATAAACCTAGGATGATGCTTGGCATACTAGGCTCATGATAAGTGCTAAAAGAATGAATTTTGAATATGTGAAATGCTTTGGAATCTGTAGAGTATTATAAAATACTTTTTCTAGTATTCTAGTACTTCTTCCTTAAACATTTACTTTCTTCTTCTTAGTTTGGAGGAGGAAATAATAAGTATTTTTTCCCATACTTTTCACATTGGTGGGCTGCCAGACACAACAGCAAAACAGAAATGATGGATTTTAAATTTACTTCAGACCAGCACAGCATCTTAGGTTCATATTCCTCTTGGCCAAGGTGGCCAGTTGAATACGATTTATTTTTCTTCTTTTCTTAGAAATAAAAAATAATTTCCAGAAATCCCACACCATGTTCTGATGTGAGTGTATTAATCTGCAGTGGTTAAAAATTTTGCTACACCTGAGATTTACTTGGACGTTGAGGCTTTGAACCGATCTCTGAAATGTACATCAGCCCTCAAGCAACTTTTTTAATAAAATTATTACTTCCTATAACTATTTTTGTTTCAGCTCTAGGAAGCATTTCTGCAAGACTAACTTTGGGGCCGGCCCTATGGCCTACTGGTTAGGTTCAATGTGCTCCACTTCAGCAACCCGGGTTCAGTTCCCGGGCATGGACCTACACCACTTGTCAGCAGCCATGCTGTGGTGATGTCCCATATACAAAATAGGGGAAGATTGGTGACAGATGTCAGGGTGAATCTTCCTCAGGAAAAAAAAAAAAAATATACATGTTCTCAGGCCCCATCCTGGGAGATTCTGATTCAGGGCTGGGGTGGTGCCTAAGAACCTATTTTTAAGAGGCTCCTCAAGTGATTCAAATGAACAGGAGGCTTGGGAACCTATGGTATAAATTATTAAGGTGGTTCCTTAAAACAATTTTTCTCCAATATTGACAGCAGGGGGTTTTCTACGAAACCTCAAAAGATTTTAAAGTGATTAATCACATCAGCCACACAGGGTCAGTCTTTCTCTACAGGCATGTGGCTGAAAGTGAATCTCCCTTACAAAGCAGGAACCAAATTAGGAAGCTAGGCCAGGTGTCGGTGTAAGTTTCCCCAGTAACTAGTGGTAATCACACATCTTTTGCCTTTTGCCCCAGCAGCTGAGGGGTGCTTTCTTAGCGAGAGAGAATG